ACTAGGAACAGAAACCAACTTCTTTAATGTGATAAAGATCACATACAAAAACCCCACAGATAGTATCATATTTAATGGTCAAAGACTGGATACTTTCCCTCTAAAATTACAAGGGTCTCCTCTTGCCACTTCTATTCAACATCGTACTGGAGGTTCTAGCCAGGGCAATTAGACAAGAAAAAGAAATAGAAGACATCTAGATTGAAAAGAAAGAAAACTATCTCTATTTGCATATAACATGACCTTATATATGGAGAACCCTAAGGAATTCACTATAAAACTATTAGAACTAATAAAGAGTTCGGCAGGATTGCAGGATAATCAATTTTTACACATTAGCAATAAGCATTCTGAAAATAAATTAAAAAAAAAAAAACTCATTTACCATAGCACCAAAAGGAATAAAATACTCAGGAATAAATGTAACAAAGGAAGTGCAAAATGCATACTCTGAAAACTACAAAACATTGCTAAAAGAAATTGAAAAAATGGAAAAATATCTCATGTTCCAGAAAATTTAATGTTGCTAAAATGGCAATACTAACCCCAATTGATTTACAGATTCAATGCACTCCTATCAAATCCCAGCTAGTTTCTTTGCAGAAATTGACAAATTCTAAGAGTCATACAGAAATTCAAGGGACCCAGAGTCAATCTTGAAAAAGAAGAAAAAAGTTGAAGGAGTCCTACCTTCTGATTTCAAAACTTATTACAAAGCTACAGTAATCACAACTGTGTGTTCAGAAATAAGTCCATACACCTACAATCAACTGATTTTCAACAAGGATGCCAAGACAATTCATTGGGAAAAATAGTCTTTTCAACAAGCAATGCTGGGATGACTGGATAGCTATGTTCAAATGAATGAAGCTGGACTCCTTTACATTTTCATACACAAAAATGATTCAAAATTGGTCAAAGACCTTAACATAAGAAGTAAAGCTATAAAACTCTTAGAAGAAAATATAAGAGAAAATCTTCATGACCATGAGTTAGGTAAGACCTTACACATAACACTACATGCACAATCAACAAAAGAAAAAATAAATAGATTAGACTTCAATAAAATTATACATCAAAGGATACCATTAAGAAAGTAAAAAGAAAACATATAGCATGGGAGAAAAGTTTTGCAAATCATTTGTCACATAAAAGAATTAGATCTAGAACAGATAAATGACTCTTATAACTAACAAGAGCAAAGGCCATGTCACCTTCACACCCCAAGTAGGAACCAATATGTAATAAGTGTCCAAGAAAAATTTGTGGAGTAATTGATGACTCTCCATGTTACCTTAAAGCAAACAAACACCTTTGCATGCCTGTATATCACCATAAGTTAAAAAATTAAGAGTTGTAATGGTGGAAAATATCACATGAAAGGTAATGCACTCTAATTCTTTTTATTATCTTTTATTTTAACAGTAAAATGCAGATGGAAGGAAAAATTAATTTTAAAAATGTTATACTGAGGACTTCCAAGCTTGGAGAACACTGGCAATCTCTTGATTCCAAATCTCCCCCTCATCTTCCTATAAAACCTTAATAAAAGAGACAAAAACAATACGGACCCACATCTTTGGCATTTCTAGGGAACAGAACTAAATTGCCATCTGATTTCTCTGAAGCAACATACAAAGCAAGGCAACAACAGAGCAACATATTTAAGAAAGTTAAGGAAAGAAAGTAAAAACAAAAAATAATATACTGATCTAAGCTGTCCATGTATCAAGCCCATTGGAAACAACTGTGAATGTATTAGAACTCAGAGAATACTGTACACATACACCCTCCTTAAGAAATATAGAAGAGCAGGGGTCAGTAAACTATGGTCCATGGGACAAATCCAGTCAAACATCTGTTTGCATAAATAGGATTTTATTAAAACACAACCATGCTCCCTTGTTTCTATATTATCTGTGACTACTATCAGCTGCAATGGCAGTTGTGTAACTGCAGCAAAAGCTACCTGGCTCAGAAAATCAAGACATTTATTCTCTGGTCCTCTACAGCAAAGCCTGGCCAACTCCCTACTGGACTAGACAATAAGCTTCATTACAACAAAAGATTGGAAAGTTCTGGCAAAACGACTAAGGGCAAGCATTTCATATAACTGTAGGGCTAAGATTAAAACAAGGGAGAAATCAATTTCCATTAAGAAAATACAGGTACAATCCTGACACCAAAGTAGACTTTAAGCTAAAAACCATTAAACAAGATAAAGAAGGACAGTTTATAATGTTAAAGCCACATTCTGGTTTTGGAATAGAGCAAGGACTATTAGCACACTTTAAAGTTGCTGTTAGGTGTGACATCACCAACACAATAGAGAAGGGAACTCCAAAAGTCCATCCCTCTACAACAGTAATAAACTGGCCGAAGCTGTCAGAATCAACTTTTTTAGAACTCTGGACCCTAATAAAAAGCTTACAACAACCAGAGGAACATTTAAAGAAAAAAGGAGACACAGAGTTTTGGTAAAAGAGCACTTTTAACTTACTCATTTGCCATCCTCTGCTCTTCAGATGAGCAGTGGCCATGAAGATAACAGCCTACATTCCTAGCACAGGTTGCTAGTGCCAGAGGGAGCAACATGGACCTTATTCTCAAAAATTTGTAATTGTGTGTTTTGATCTGTCTGATGGCTCTGTGAAGGACGGACTCAAGGGCTTGCCTTTGTTTTGCCTGTCTCAGAGTTTCCCCAGGACAGAAGCCATTCTCTGGGTGGCATTTGTCAAAAGTATTTAAAGGCAAATAAATTAGTCGCAGTGTTGAGGGGTAAGGGATAAAAGTAGGTGATGAGGGATTACAGTCAGGGTAACCGACAAACAGACCACAAAAACCTGGATGAAAAAGACGCTTGAATACTAGATACTTGAGGAGAAAGGGGTTTTTTAAAGTTCCTGCATAGATTAGAGAATCTTGGAGTCTGTATGCATGCTTGGGACTAGACACATGCTCTGAAAAGACCTTAAGCTTTCACCTTTGACTAACCTTTGGGCTCCATGCAAACAGGAAGTGAAGGCTAAGGACAGAACTGTAAATAGCCTTGCTATGCTAATGTTGAAGGAGTACCCCTAACAGTCAATCTGTAAGAACTAGGAGAATATGCTTTTTGTTTTGGCTATCTAGGCATTAAGAAAACCTGTCAAATAACTAGCGGTCCACTAAGCTAATGGAAGAGATTTCAGTGGTCACACATGACAAAGAATACAGACATTTAAAAAATAGTTTAGAAGGCACTAAACAAACAATAAAATCCCCAACAGCAGCAACAACAAATACTGAGGAGGAGGATCTGATTTTCAGTGTTGCCAATTTATAATATTCAAAATGTCAAGTTTTTAAGATAAAATTACAAGGCATGCAAAGAAATAAGAAAGTATCACCCATTTACAGGAAAAAAGAAACCAACAGAAACTATCTCTGAAGAAACTCAGACATTGGTCTTACCAGACCACTTTAAATCAACTGTCTTAAATATGCTCAGAGTTAAAGGAAATCATGGACAGAGACCTAAAAAAAATCAGGAGAACGTGGTCTCAACAAAAACAGAATATCAATAAAGAGTTGAAAATTACAAAAAGAAACCAAATGGAAATTCTGAGCTGAGAACTACAATGACTGAAATGAAAAATGTACTGAAAGGGTTCAAGAGTTAATTTGAGCAAGCAGAAGAAAGAATCAGCAAACTTGAAGACTGGTCAATTGAGATTATACAGACTGAGAAGAAAAAGGGAAAAAAAAAAAAAGAAATAAACAGAGCCTAAGAAACCTGTGAGACATTATCAAGTATACCAACATACATGTAACAGGAGACCCAGGAGAGGAGAAAGAGGCAGAAAGAATATTTGAAGAAATAATGACCCAAATTTCTCAGTTTTGATGAAAAATAATCAACACATCCAAGAATCAGAATGAACCCCAAGAAAGATAAACTCAAGGAGATCCACAGTGAGACACATTATAATCAAACTGTTAAAACCTAAAGCCAGAGAATCCTGGAAGAAGAGAAGTAATTCATCATGTGTTAAGGACTCGGTAAGACTAACAGCTGATTCTTCATCAAAACCATGGAGGCCAGAAGACAGTGGGATGATAAATTCAGAGCTGAAAGAAAAAACCGTCAGCGTAGAATTCTATACCCAGAAAAAGTTCTGGAGATTGGTTGCACAATTTAAATATACTTAACATTACTGAACTGTGCACTTAAAAATGGTTAGGATGGTAAAATTATAAGTTAAATACATATGTTACATATATTTTACCGCAATTAAAAATAAATTTAAAAAAACAAATTAAGACCTTACAAATAAACAAAAACTGAGGGAGTTTCTCTCTAGTAGACCAGCCCTACGTGAAATGTTACAGGAAGTCCTTCATGCAGAAATGAAAGGACACTAGACAGTAACTCAAAAGCATACAAAGAAATAAAGAACACTGGTAAAAGTAGCTACATAGGTAAATGTAAAGCCAGTATTATTTTATTTTCAGTTTGTGAATCATCTTTTTTTCCCCCATATGACATAAAAGCCACTTTCCACATTGTAGATATAACAATTAGGAAAAAAATTAGTAAACTGAAAAATGATATTAAAAGACAGAAATATAAGAACTATAATTTACACAACTAAGTGAGATCTCACACTTTAAATCAGATTATCTCTAATTTGTATGTCACACGGACAAGTATTGAGCTCTAAACCAAGCACAGTGAAAAGCAAAATCTAATATGAAAGATCACCAGCCAAAACCTCAAGATATCTGAAGTGGTATACTGTCAGTTCTGCTAATAAATCTCAGTTTTACTAACTTTTCTGGGTCTTGAGTTCCACATTTGTGAAATGCGAAAGATATGACAATATTATAAGAATTTATATGGAAAAAAGAAAATGGTTGCCTTAAAATTCTTTAATTCCTTAATAAGTAAAGTTGTAGGCAAATCCAAAGTATCATCATTATTATTACTATCAGCATGGATAAGCAGTTTCTTTATTTACCTGATGATGTTGGATGTTTCTTATGTTGCATGAAAAATTCTGGTAGAGCAGAAACTTATCAACATCTTTCTCATTTACTTTTTTTGAGGACACCTTTGCTAGAGATGACTGGATACAAATATACCTATTTTGGCACCTGTTCAGTAAAGAAACACATTATATGGAAACAACGTTAGCAAAAAACTTAAGCTATTACCAAATGAGATTCTTTTTTTAAGTGATGCCCAAGTATAAAAAGGTACTGACCCATCAAAAGAGGACTCTGCTAGTGTAAGTCCTCCAAATCTATGTATATGTCAACCCAATCCTCCTATAAAATGCCTAAATCAGTTCATCTGCAGTTATGTAAGAGACCAAAACTACAGATACCAGATCAATAATTCTGGTCTAGATATCATCCTTTTCTAACCACTGAGTCAGGCAGTCAAGAGCCAAGTAAAAGCTAAAAAGAAGGGAAATGAGAGGATATGGCAGGACAGCTTTCCAGTGACAGTTTATAAAACTGAAACAAATTTCGGTAGTATGATACTTATAAAAACACATTTAAACCTGGTCGATTCTCCTCCTTTGACTCATTCCTACTAGGAATTTTTACTATTACTGAGGAAATAGGAAACTTCTCTCCCTGTATTAACAAAAACCCTGACAAGCCACTGCAGTCAACTGGTTCATCTCCACCTTTCCTCTCCTCTGCACACCTCATACAGAGATGTGGAGAAAGAGTAAGAGCAGACAGTCTTCTCTGCTGATACACAGCTGAAAAATATATTAAAATAGGGTTTTAGGATAGTATCTTTTTTTAATGAGGCATAAAATCCAAAAGCCCAAGTAGGGCCTACTAGGTCATGAGGTTTTAATCTCTTATAAATGGACCATGATACCATGGATAAGCAGCTCTCTCCATCAGCTGAAATTCATTTTGAGGTCAGCACTTTTATCTATACCTGATATTAAACATTCTCAAGTTAACTCAATCACTTATAAATACCAGAAATGAGATATTATAATACATGTATAGTACATACGTCTAAAAAGCATGCCACCCAGTCTAAATGAATATCTCTCTCTAGCATACATTGTATAATGCAATGGGGTTTTTTTGTTTTTTTTTTTTAGTTTTTGATGTAGTGTTCCATGATTCATTGTTTGTGTATAACACCCAGTGCTCATTCAATACATGCCCTCTTTAATACCCATCACCAGGCTAACCCATCCCCCAACTTCCCTCCTCTCTAGAAGCCTCAGTTTGTTTCTCAGAGTCCATAGTCTCTCA